ATGTTCAACATACTCTGGTGTCTATTCATAACTGCTCAGAGGAGAAAGGAAAAGCAGAATTAGCTCTGGCTTCTCTCCGACAACTGAATGATGATCCCCGGATACTACAGAATTCAGTGCAAACTTCAGCCAGCCAAGGTGGCCAGGCAATCTGTAAAGACTTAGACTTCCCCTGAGCTTCAGACTATGCTTGCCACTGTGACCAAGAATTAGTATGTCCTTGCCTCCACTTGTAATCTGGAAATGAACGCATGCCCCATCCTCAGAGAGTACCTTTCTGCCATCTTCCCACTCTTGGTTTCTCTCCTAAGGAGGCTAGCATCTAAGTGGCTGGGCACTCATCGTTGACATATTCCTCCCCTCCAGCTCCTCACTTTAGCAGAGGAGCCGGGCTCACCTCTCATCAAACCTGTGGAATAATCCACTCCTTTGGACTCAAAGATACTTCTGAAAGAAAGAAAGAAAGAAAGAAAGAGAGAGAGAGAGAGAGAGAGAGAGAGAGAGAGAGAGAGAGAGAGAGAGAGAGAGAGAGAGAGAGAGAGAGAGAGAGAGAGAGAGAGAGAGAGAGAGAGAGAGAGAGAGAGAGAGAGAGAGAGAGAGAGAGAGAGAGAGAGAGAGAGAGAGAGAGAGAGGGGGGAAAGAAAGAAGAAAGAAAGAAAGAAAGAAAGAAAGAAAGAAAAACAGAAACACATGTACTCCAACTCATGGTCTCTAGAAAGAACATGTCAAGAAAACTCACTGCTCCACATGATCAGAAAGAAAGAAAGAAAGAAAGAAAGAAAACAGAAACACATGTACTCCAACTCATGGTCTGTAGAAAGAACATGTCAAGAAAACTCACTGCTCGACATGATCTCATTCAAAACCCTTTCAGAAAGTGGGACTTATTAGTCAATTACTCTTCCAAACAGCAAATTAATTGAAACACACACACACCCATACTCATAGGCACTCACACATTGCGCACACACCCACACTCCCAGATCTGGGGGGCTGGGGATGGGAATCATTCAGGCGCTGAGAAAGTATTAATCAGGTGGAAAGCACCCAGCCCCCAAGCCCGACTATGTAGGCGCCGGGACC